TGACCCCAAGGACATGCAGCCTCCAGTGGCTAAGGAACTTGCCAGGGAATGTGGGCTAGCCTGGTCTGTAGAAGTGGCCCTCTGCATGGACGCATGATCCAAAAGTGTGAGTAGGGCTGGTCTGTAGAACCAACTTCCAGGTAGAGTGTGGCCTGAGGGTACATCTGGAGCTGGTCCACACAGGACACAGAGGTGTCTGCACTGGGCCTTGGCTCCTGCAGTGCGGAAACGAAAAGATAGGAGTGCCACACCTGGGAGGGAAGCACCTTCCCGCTGCTATCACCATAGTATGTCCCTCTAGCGCCCTCTACTGGCAAAGCCTAACATGACTCCAGCTAGCAAACAAAACTGTTTACAGGGTCCAGCTCCAGTATCACAAAGCAGGGCAAAGAAGGGTGTGTTTGGAGCTCAGAGACAATAAACTGACAAATGGCATGGGAGAAGGGACAAGAGGCAGACATGAGGGAGCCAGGGGTTTATGGGGAAGGGGTTAGAGGGGCAAGAGTTTCTATGCCTTTTGGAGGTGGGGAGGCATGCATGGGCTGGAAGCCTGAGGAGCAAGCACTGTCCCCAGCTCTCTTCAAAAAGAGAATGCAGTCACATAAAAAACACAGCTCAAAAAAGCCACGTTAGGCAGTTTAAAAGATTTTTTTTTTAAAAAGCCACACTGTTCTGCTTTCAAATGAACAGAAAATAAAATATCTGGACAGGTTCCCTCTTCCCACCCCAGCAGTAAGTAGAAAGTTAGTTGAGACGCATCTCATTCTTCTTGAAAAAAGGCTCTCTCAGCAATTTGGGTCCTGCTGACTCAGGCCACCCCCACCATCTGCAGGTTCAACACATTTAACCATTCATTCAACAGCATTTTCTGCAGGCCTAGCAGGTGCCAAGCACTGGGTCTGGGAGGCTATTTGATTATGTACCTCAGCTAAGCCTGTTCACAGCTGTCTGTGGCTCGGCCTGGCTTGAGTAAGTGCTGAGAGGACAGACTGATGACGGACAAGAGAAATTTCCAGCAGTTAACGTGGTTTCGGTTTAGATCTGCCAGAATTTCTCTGATGACTATAAGAGAAACAACTATGGAGGCAAGTGACGTGGGTTCTTATCCTGTCTTGATTCTTTCTAGCCATGTGACCTTAAGCAATTCACCTCACTTCTCTGAGCCTGTTTCCTCATGTATCGAATGGTTTTGGTCACATCTACCTCTCAGATTACTGGGAAGATTAGGGACAATGTCTACATTAGGTATAACACAAGGACATGCCAAGGCAGGTGCACCGGCCTATCGCACCAAGCCCAGACCACGCCCAAGACTTAACCAGGCTCAGAAAGCAGATGCTTAAGCCACTGGCCTGGGTGTCACTGAGCAATGTCAGCCCCACTGTCACTGATGGATATTGAACCCAATGCTGCCTTACCCTACTGGGAGTGAGTCCCTAGAGAACACCCAGTCCCACCTCCTCACAGGACAGAACAGGAGACTGAGCCCCAGACAGGGCAGTTGTCTGTCCAAGGCCACACAGCATGGTGGTGGCCAAGCCAGCACTGGAACCCAGCCTCATGACATCAAGCCATTTGATCACCCAGAAGACTAGACAAGATGTGCTAAGAGCATGAGCTTTGGAGCCAGACCAACCTGAGTTCAAATCCCAACTATGCAACATTCATTCACTCAACAAAAACTCATTGAGTTCCTGGCATGTGCCAGACACCATGTTCAGTTTAGGGGACAGAAGAGGACAAGATCCATGAGGCCTTGTCCCACTCACTGCTCACAGTCTCATGGGGGAAGCAGAGAACAACCAACCAATGACTAAGCAAGCTCATTACCTGCCATGAGGAAGCAGTGAGGGACAGGCAGGCTGAGAGGACAGTGGTGGCAGGAGGGCCACCACAGGGCATTCAGGATGGGCTTCTCAAGGAGAAGACATAAGCTGGGACCTGGATACCAGGATGGAGCCAGCCACGTGGAGATGGGTGAAGGTTACCCAGGCAGAGAGCTCAAGGTGATGAGAAGAGATGAGTCGTGCACAGAGCAGGCTGTTAACACACAGATCTGTGGAAGGTCACTGGAGGGTTTGGGCAGGAGAGTGACAGGATCTGACCTGTTTTTTTCAAAGGATCACTGTGGCTGCTGCTGTTTGTGTGACACTCGATGGCTCTCTGACCTTGGGCAAGTCGCCTAAGCTCTCCAAGCCTCAGTCTCATCTGTACATTGGGATGACAACTGTACCTACCTCGCAGCCTTTGTTGGAGGCTGACATATGACAATCACATAGAGCACTTAGCAATATGCCTTGTAAGTGTCACATAAAGCTTTGCTTTTCACATCCTCATGTCCGAAGCCCTCATCCTCTCCCTACAGGATATGACCTGGCCGGACCCTGTTAATCCTGCCCATGTATCACCACCATCATTTCTGCACTGCCCTCAGCCATGGGGGTGTTGAGGCCAAAGCTCATTAAGCTCCTGTCCATCAGAAGTCAGTGGGGACAGGTCAGCGGACCCAGGGACAGAGAGTGGCCATGCCCCTCTCTCATTAGCACCTTGCAAGTGGTCTTACCTCCATCAAAGTCACGCTCTGTCTCCTTGGTGCCTGAGATACATAATGTGTCCCAATCAAGGGCTGGCCGAGAGGTCATGAGGAGTAATCATTACTTTGGCCACTCCTGCAGCCAGATTTATTACAGCACAAAGAAACAATTTAGCTCCTGGCAGTAGCAAGCAGCCAGCCGTCTGCACTTGTAGAAATCCTATTTGCTGGGCCTGGTGGGCAGAGGTCTCGACCCCACACCTGCTCGGCCTGAGGCCCTGGGCAGAGCCTGGCTGGGCCATTCATCTTCCTGGGCTCCAGGCCACCTCATGGAGAGGCCACCACCTCTAATACATTTCACAGCATTTGAAAATCAGTACCCAGGCCAAAAGCTACCACTGATGTTGCATGAAGGGATCCTCGAGCTTTTGACACCACCCAGACAGGCCACAGAGCAGAGTGACTTAAGGCCCAGGCTTTAGAGTCTGCCTTAATGTGGGTTCAAGTCCTGACTCCAGCATGTAATGGCCAAGTGACTTAGGATGAGTAAACTTACCTCCCCGAGCCTTCATTTCCTCAACTCTAAATGAAGGGGTGGTAATCCTACTTTAAAGAGTTGTCACATGGATTAAATAAGAGATAAGGGGTGTAAGTCCTGTAACACAGTAATAGGTACCAAAAAAAAAAAAAAAAAAAAAAGCAGTGATGATCAGCATTTTCATTATCCAGGGACTTCAGTATTATGAAATGAGATGTCCTTTATTGAGGGCCAATTATGTCACCAGGTACTATGCTAGCTCTTTTTAGATATTTTATCTCTAGACCTCACAACCAACACTGCAAGTAGGTATTGTTATGTTTATTGCGGAGTAGTTAGGGGACAGTGCAAGATCACCCAGCTGGTGGAGTGTTGAGCCGGGGGTGGGACCTTGGCTTCTTGATTATGGGGCTGGTTCTCCTGATGCTCAGCTCCTCTGAAAGGCCACCGGTTAGACAGGCAGGCTGACCCTCCCTCCTTCCCTTCCTCCCTCATGCCAACACTTCCAGAGCACCAGCTCCAAGACAAGCCCTTTGCCAGGAAATGGCACTGCACAGAGCACATATGTATGAGCCAGCTTTTGGTACGTAACAAATGACCCCAAAACTTATTGGCTTAAAAGAAAGAACTGTTTATTCTCTCTCCCAGTTCCAGTGGTTGGTTGGGCAGTTTCTGCTAAGCTTAATCATGCAGCTTTACTCACCTAACAGGTCGGCCAGGCTAGAAGTTCCATGACAGCCTCATTCACAGGTTGGCAGTTGGTATTGACTGTTTCTGGGATGTTGTGGTTCTCCTCCAAGTGCCCACAAGTCATTCAGGAGGCTGGGCAGGCATCCTTACGAGGCAGGGTTCCAGGAGAGCAAAAGCAAAATCTGCACTGCCTCTTGAGGCCTGGGATCAAGAGCTCACACACCGTCACTTCTGCCACATGCTGTTAGTCAAAGCAAGTCATATCCTATTGCATGACCAGTATCCATAACATACAACTAGGACTCATCAGGTAAAGCTTAGAGTTCAGTTCAGGATAAGAGTGAGGGAGTCAATCTGTGCCCGAGCCAAGTGGGATCATAACTGTCTAATAAACTTTTAACTCACATTAGAGAATGTTGAATTGTGAGGTCTTTAGAATGGGTCATATCCTTTGACCAGTGGAGAAAGTCAGTTAGTGTGTGTATAGAATCAGTACATCATATAGCCAGATTGCATTCGAAGAATCTGAGGCCCAGAAACAGAAACTGTCTTGTTAAGGTCACATAGCAAGTTGTGACAGGGCCAGGAGTGAGTAGGGTCCCTATCAGCTAGCCCACTCCTCCTTCCAATCCACCCCATGGGGAAGCCTGGGGCTGGGAACAGCTGGGCTGGGCAGCTGGACCATCATCCCCAGCAGGGTGCATCTCCTCTGTCCTGTCTCTGCCATGTGTCTGTAAACTGGGCCTTATTTGCATATATGGCACCACAGATGGCCCTTAATCACTATCTCATCTGATCCTAACAGGAATTCTCCATGGTACAGATGAGAAAGAGAGGCCCAGAGAGAGCAGTTGACTCACCCAGGGTCTCGCCACTAGTGGGGCTCATCGGTCTGACACCAAAGCCTGAGCCTCCCAGGCTGCCCCAGAAAGAGCTCAACCCTGATCCAGGCGCCTGGTGGATGAGAGGCAGCTCTGTGGCCTCAGGGGTCTCAAGATGAAGCCCACTGCCTGAGGAACTGCTTCAGAGCCTGGGTGAAGGCAGCAATGGCCAGAGTCCCTTGGAACACTGAGCAATGCCCTGCAAGGTCTACATCTCCTCCCTTTTACCAACGGAAAAACCAAAGCCAGACTGGAATCTAGGTCTCTGACCCCCAGTCCATGGCCCACCGCACTGGGAGGCCAAGCATAGGCGAGCAGTCCCCAGGCAGGCTGGTCAGACATACACAGGGCCGCTCTGTAGCATTCAGAGAGCATGTTTATTTACAAAGCGCTTTACAAACATCAGCTTATGCCTCCCCACAGCCCCCTGTGAGGTAGGTCAGTAGTCGTATCTACAGTTTACAGATGGGGAAATTGAGGCACAGAACGGGGGTGTAGCCTGCCCCATTTTAAAGAGAACTTCCCACCCACCCATCAAAAAATAACAAAATAAAAAAGCATTGATCCTCCTTCCAAAATACCCCTTTTCTTCCTCTGAACTCGAGGCGTGTGACCAGACCTCCTCTGGCTCTGCCCCCTGCCCAGTGGGCAGCCTGGCCAGGAGCCACAGGGACCTCAACCCAAGGGATGCTGTTCAACCTTGCAGACTGTCACTGGCCCAAGCTGAGCAGGACCAGGCCAGTAAGGCCTGAAGGTTACAGGAATAGAGGCTGAGGTGACTTCATTCTGCAGGCATTGCTCAGGCAGGGAAGCAGCCCCACGTGGGCCACAGCACGAATGGGCAGATGCTGGTTCAGAAAACTCAGAGCACATGCCAGGGAAGCAGAAACAGGGTGGGATGGGGAGCCAAATACCCCAGGGGCTGCAAGGGACAGTTGGGTGGAGGAAGGCGCTGTAGTTCCCCTGGGGAGGACAGTCAATGTGTCTCACTAGCAAATTAGGGCAGAGCCCAGCCTCCCCAGGACCCTCAGCAGCTAGGCCAAATGGGATTCTAGATGCCAAGCCTCAATGCACCCATGTGCAGAGGGAGCTGAGCCGAGTGGAAACCCTGGCCTAGGATGCTCTCTGCAGGGCCTCACTCATCTCTGCCAAGGGCTGAGATGGAATCAAGGGGCCTGGCCTGCGTCCCCCAGAGCTGGCCATTCTGAGCCCCCATCGCTCTACCAGGCAGTGCCAGGCCTCTCAGTACAGGCTGCAGGACCCTGTGGAGGTGGGGTGGGGCTGCAGTCTTGCTAAGCTCCTCCTTGGCCCACAGCCTGCCTATGGGACATAACAAAAGGCCCTGCCCCCCATGAAGGGGACACCAAGATGGCCCAGCATCCACTCCAGCACTTTCCCCGTGGGGGCCGTGGTTGAGCAGACTTGGAAGCACAGGTCTTCCTCGCCAGTCCAGGATGGTGGACCTGGCCCTGAGTGTGCAGTGGGTGCCCCAGGCCAGGGGCCCCTGCTATCTTGACTCCAGCCCCTCCAGGTACTCCAGGGCCACATCGTAGCAAAAGTGGTACTGATCCTGGGGAGAGAGAGAGAGAAGGAATCAGGACCCTGAGCCCTCCCTGGTACTGGGGAGCTGAGAGGCAAAAGAGAGGGCAAGCATGAGCCCTGGCCCACCCTGAGGGCAAGGGAGGAAATGTGTTTTGACACAATAGGACTAGAGCCAAGGCCCAATGGTGGGGACCAGACATGGGAGAGCAGGTGCTTGGGGACCCTGGCCAGTCATGGACCAGGAAGGTGGAAGTGGCTGGGCACAGGGACACAGCCCCTCACCATGGTTTCCACCATATTGGGCTTGTAGTTCCGAAGCATTTTGGCAGCAAAGAAAACGTCCACCAGGCTGTGGCAGCGGATCATCTCCAGGACGGTGGCGCAGGCGCAGAAGGTGCCGCTGCGGCCACCCCCATTTCTAAATGAAGAGACACAAAAGGTTTGGAATGGGGCTTGGGAATCCGAAATGGGGGACGGGGCGTGGGAACCAAAAGGAAGGAGGAGGATGGGGTCACTACCCAGGGGTGAGGGGCGGGGCTAGGTTCCCTGGGGGTGGGAGCGGAGCTAGGCAACCGAGAAGGGAGGGGCAGAGAGTCCAGAGGTGAGGGGCGGGGCCCGGCAGCTGAGAACGGGGTTCAGAGCTCAGGACCAGAAGGTTAAGGAGGTGGATCAGTCTCACATCCAAAACCTAATGGCATCTCAGAAAACAATCCCTCAGATTCTGAGGGAAAGGAAGCCAGACACAGTCCAAGAGAAAGACACTGAGAGGCAGAGACAGCAACAGAGAAGGGCAGCTGAGAAGAAAGCAAAAATCCGGAGAGCAAGATGGGAAACGAACACTGAGAAGCCCAGGCAGGGCCCCATCAACGCACACACAAGGCACAGACACATATACACACCAAGCCAAACCTGCACAGAGACCCTCCCGTTCCCTCCATGTCTCTCCTTCTGTTCCCTATGACTCCCACATGTGGGGTTCCCCTTGCGGGACGGGAGACTGACTAGGCCCTCCACCCCCTTCTTGAGGGGTCTCTCCCACTAGAACCAAAAGGCCTCAGGGCAGAGCCAGACTGACTCAGCTCCCTATCCCAGCTTCCAGTATGCCCAGCCTGGCACTGGGAAGGCTCAGTAAGTGCAAAAAGCATGAAAAAGTGGGGAGCAGAGGGGTAACGGCACCCAGACACGAGGGAATAGATGAATTTATCAATGGGGGCATGCATGTAAGCATATGAATTGCATGAATGAAAAGAGTTTCACATGGGCATGCATGAACAAAGACTGGAATTCCCTTGGCATAAAAAGTACTACAACCTCACAGGGTGAAAAATTCTGACAAAAGACTCTAATTAAATTGGCAAAGTCAGACATCACAAAGAGGGTACTGGGCAGTTGTTCAGGGTTGACCATGTACTCTGGAAACTGATTGGGTTCCTCCAGGGAAGACAGGGCCAGCCTCAGCTGGTTGGGCATAGTTCAGGCATTGCCATTTGGGATCCCAGGGGTTTTGGTGCCAGGTTTAAGGCCCTCTCTCAGACTGGACCTCTGCCCCTGGCTCCCTGCCCCCTCCATCCTCCTTCCCGCAGGGTGGACACTCACAGGCAGTGCACGATGGTGCGCCCATCCCCGCTCTCTGCCTGCCACTTGTCCACCTCAGCCAGCAGGTGCAGGAAAGCCTTTTTGGAGTCAGGTGTGTCCCGGTATGCAGACCAGCGCAGAAACTGGAAGTGCCGCACTAGCAGGTGCCCCTCCTGCAGCTGGGGGCATAGGCAGCCAGCCAGGGGCACGTGAGTACCGGGGTCATGTGGCCCCCTGATGACCTCAAGAGGGTCATTAAAGCCTGCTCCGGCCACCACCCACCCTGGGGCTCCCAGACCACTCACTCGAGAAATGTTCTGCACCCGGAAAACTCGGGCCACTAAGTCTTCATCCACTGTGCCTGACACAAACTCCACCTCCATGAGGCCATACTGCTGCCGGCCTGGCTCTGGCCAGTACTGTAGGCAGGGCTGGGGGCACAGGCACAGACAGAGAACTGAGTAGACCCAGGCTGGGGATCACCCCACAGCCCTACCCACCCTTAGGGCTCCACACTTGCCCTGAGGCTCCCACGCATCCTGGCCCACTCCCTCACTCCAGACTCACCTTCAGCATCCCCCCTGCTCTCCACCACTCACCCAACAGACTGCAGTGTACACCTGCCCCAAAGCGTTCTGCACTGATGCGTTCAGAGAAGCCAAGATAAACCATTCACAGACGGTGCAGTGATGCCCACTGCCGTGCAGCTAGAAATCTACATCTTCACACGCATGCACCTTGGGGAGGCTGCCTTCTTCCAGGGATAGGCCTAGATCACCCCCTCCCACACTGGAACTGCCTCCCCTCCCCGGCCTTCTCTCTCACTGCCTCTGCCCTTCAGCACCACCTCACAGAGGTGGGGGTGTCCCTGATGCTGCAACACAGCTCAGCACCCCTACTCCTGCCCCAGGACCCCTCCATGGAGTCAGAGTACTACATATGTCCCTTTCCCAGACCACAGACTCAAGACAGTGGAGCGCCAGAGGAGACGCAGCCCCACACACGTACATACACACACAGGCCCAGAGCCCCAGCTGCTAGTCTCAGCTCTGCCTGGAGCCCAGTTTCTCCAACTGTAAAATGGCCCCCAAGCTCCTCCCAAACAATACCACACTCCACCTGCTTCCCTCTCTGACCACAGTCCTGTGAGGAGAGGTTACTACCTTCCTCTTTTTGCCTGGGGTCCTGGCAACTCCTTGCACTCAGAACTTTGCACCTGCTGTTCCCTCTCCATGGATCACTCTTCCCCATCACTTCAGCTAGTTAACACTAAACTTTCCACACATCTCAGCTCAGACAATACTTCCTCCAGGAAGCCCTCCCTGATATGCTATCTGCCAGGCTTCTCTGCGTCCCTATGCCAGCTCCGTGACAACACTTTACCCTCTGTGCTGTCACTGTCAGCTTTGGTACCTGCTTCCCTCTGGACTGTGAGATGTGGCAGGGGAAGGGCTGCGTCTTCTCCCTCTGTCTCCCCACTGTCTACTGCAGGGTCCTAGCAGGGAGCAGTCCATGGGAAAAGTTCTTGAATGGCTGAGCAAATCAATGACCAGTGACTGATGTCTGTGTGAGGCTCCATCTGGGCACTTCCTCACCACCTTAGCAAGGGTGGGTTCCTGCCACAACTGGGATTCGGTCCAGATCCCCACCCAGGGGCTGGAGCCCATTACCTTGCAGTCCTGTGTCATTTACACCAAGTGCCTGACTCATAAAAAGCCCAGTTAACAAAGTCTTCTCCAGGCAGCTGTTAAGAGGCTGTTGTGTTCATTTTACAGCAAATCTTCCTGGCTGCCTGGGGCAGAGAGCTGGGGTGGGAGGGGGTCCAGAGATCTAGTGGACATGGTCAGGCTGGGACAGAAGGCTGTGCATCTCACTTCCCAGGAGCTCCAGCCTTTGCAGCCCCAAAAGAAAATGGGAGGAATCAGAGGGGCTGCCCCCAGGCTGAGGCACCAAGCCAGTGTCTGGCCCAACCTCAGAAGTGACTGTCAGCCTCAATATCTTCATCCCTCATATACCGAGCACCTACTATGTGCCGGGCATAGCACAGTGCTAAGCCTCCTATGCACATCTCACCTGGTCCTCACAATAATCCCATAAGAGCGGGTCTTGTGACTTTCTCTTTTACAGAAAAGGAAACAGGCTTAAGGAGGTAAATTAACTTACCCTAGATCAAACAGTCAGAAAGTGGGAGCTTTGGATTTACTCTACCTTGAAGGCCCCCATGCTGGCAGTTGAGTTGAGCAACTGAAAAGCAGCTCTGGGATGAGGAAGCCCAGGGTTTAGGGCACAGCTCTGCCACTTCCCAGCTATTTGACCTTGGAGAAGGCACTTCACCTCTTTGGATCTTACTTGTGTTAATTTTCTCACCTGAAGCCCTCACCCCACAGCTGTTGTAGACTGTAAATAAGACCATAAGTGTGAAGCAGAGACCCTGGTTTAAAGCAGGTGCTCAGTAAAGAGCAGCTAGTTTTCTCCACTCTAACAGCCTCATTTTACAGATGAGGAAACTCGGGCTCTGGGAGGGAGTGCAACTCGTCGAAGGTCATAGGACAAAAAGATGGCAGAGCTGGGATCCAGCTCTTGACTTTGGGGGCCATGCTCTTAAACAGGTGGGCAGCTGGCCCAGCCAGTGGGACCCTCACCCAGGCAGAGTTGGACTGGTTCAGCTGGTTGAGCATGACGATGGAGGTGCACCCGTAGTCATAGACCAGCCGCCAGAAGTCGGGTGTGGTGCTCTGTAGTGGGTGCAGGGTCACGATGAAGGCCGCGCTCCGTGTGTAGCTCTGCAGGGAAACCAGGACTCAGCAGGGCCCTGTCCATGGCCCCTGACATGGGCCAAGCCACTAGCACACGCTGTCCTCCCATCCTCCCAACACTGAGCTGGACGGTTGTGTCCCACAGCACCAGGCTGCCTCCAGTGGCCCATTGCAGAG